CCCCGGCAATGGCGCCAAAAACTTGATGTGCACAAAAGTACCCACTAATTTTAATATTTATAACCTAACAAACTTAGACTAACTATGCACTTATATGCAGTGTACCTAGTCAGATTACAGTATAGCTTAGGTAAGTCGGGTGTCGATCACAGGGAACGGTGGATTAATTTAATATATTTGATTATAGGTTACAGGTCACACGAAAAGAATAAAAGAAATAGTTTAATAAATCTCAAACTAATAATTAATTAACCATTCTCGATAAACTAACAGGAAAACAAATATCTTCAGGTACTTTGGTTAGACAAATTCCACCTTAAAAACATAGACAATTGCATACACAAATTCATTTATTCATGTTCACCAATTCCTAAAATGATTAGATTCGTGTTCACTATAACTAATACTTTAGCAAACAAGTCAATTCAAACAGTGATCAATTGGTTAAACTAACATGCTTCCTAGTGTTCAGTTCGTATCAAACAAGACATGTAAATATAGTTAATCAAATTAAACATTTAATTAACCTCTTGTTGATGGTCATCAAACAGGGCTTACACATTAACTTACTTATTCCCATGTTAATCCTAGTTTCACATTCGTTATTCCTAGACTTATAATCTCGATGGTCATCAAAATCATAAGAGAAAAGCAATCAAGCATATGTTCATACAACTCAATTCACTTAACAATTAACAAAAAATAATCATCATTAATACATAAGGATCTTTTAACAAGCTTGGTAAGATAAATTAAACACAAACAAACTATTTAATATAGCAATTAGTCTAATAATCAAAGCTTCATTCAATCATAAACACAAAGTAAAAGGTTTTTACACCCAAGTCAGAAACTAAATACAGAATAGTAACACAATGGAATGCTAAACATGGTCACGTTAACAACCCATAGGATTACCGACACGTATCCGCTCTCCAACCCTTCCGATCTCCACTCCCGTTAGCTTAACGGCCTTCCGGCCGCCTTCTAGACCCTCAAACGGCTTAACAGAAGTTAATTGTCGACTAAATTAGGTTAGAAGTCGAATCCCCCTCCCTGGTTAGCTGAAAATCAACATTTATAGTCTTTGTAGCCGACCTAAGTACGCTGGGCGTACATAGGATTACGCGCGACGTACACATGATTACTACGCGATTTGGAGTTATCTGAAGGCACCCAGTACGCGACGCGTACTCTTTAATTACGCGGGGCGTACGGCTAGTTTAGGCTTTACGCTGGGCGTACTGCGACTTTACGCGGGGCGTAACCCACTTCTTCAACATATTTAATTCCTTTTAGCTCCTAAGTCTGGTTTCCGCTTCAGTCTTTTCTTTTGTGCTTTATTAACAACGAATAGCTGCAAAACATAATTCAAAGTATTATGAGTACTTTTTAGTTCTAAAATAGAATAAACAAGGCCAAAATATTAAGATAAAGTGCATAAAAATATATATAAAAATACACATATCAGTTGGTAAGTCGAGCTTATATGATCTTGTCGCGACCTTTTGGATCACCTGATACGGCCCTTCATATCTTCTTGTTAAGCCCTTGTGTACTTGTCGAGTGGACTTGAACATTCTTTGGGGAAATTTCACCATCACTTCGTCACCAACCATAAATTCACGCGGTTGTCTGTTTCTGTCCGCTCACTTCTTCATGCGTTTGGCTGCTTTGTTCAAGTAAGACCTTGTTATGTCAAGTTCCTCGTTCCACCCTTTATCGAACTTGTATGTGGGTGGACTAGCGCCTTTATACCCCCTAGTTAGTTCTTGTGGTGTCAAAGGTTGTTGACCCATGATGATTTCAAAAGGGCTTCTTCTGGTAGCCTCGCTCCGTTGTAGATTATAAGAAAATTGGGCTACATCAATTAACTTAGCCCAATCCCGTTGATTAGGACTAACAAAGTGCCGTAGATAAATCTCCAGCAAATGATTCACCCTCTTAGTTTGTCCATCAGTTTGTGGGTGGAAACCGGTTGAAAAGTGGAGCTCGGAACCCATGAGCTTAAATAATTCCCTCCAAAATTTTCCAGTAAACCGAAGGTCTCTATCACTTATGATGCTCCGAGGGAGTCCCTAATACTTTGCCACATGTTTGAAGAATAACTGACCAGCTTCCTCAGCTGTGCAATCTCTGGGTGCAGGAATGAACGTCCCGTATTTGGAGAAACGGTCTACGACCACCGTGATGGAACCACAACCTTCAGATGTAGGTAAGGCCGAGATGAAATCCAAAGTTATACTTTCCCACGGGTGCTCCGCAATCGGCAACGGTTCTAAGTTCTAACAACCCTGCTGTCTTGGACTGTTCCACCTTCTCTTGTTGGCATATGAGACATGTCCGAACATAGGCGTCTACATCGTCCCTCATCCTTGGCCAGTAGTAAGTCTTTTCTACAATTACCATGGTTCGGTGTGTTCCAGGATGCCCTGCCCATTTTTAAGCGTGGCATTCTTTTAGGACTTCTTTCCTTAAGTTGTCCCATTTCGGAACATACATTCGATTACCAACAGTGAGTAATAGTCCATCTTCGACCCAAAATTTTCGAGTCTTCCCATCTTTAGCCATCTCCATTAAGCTTTTTGTTAACGGGTCATGGCTTATTCCTTCTTTGATACGATTAGTAAATGAGCAGGTTACCCGGGAGATGGTTGCCAATTCCGCTTTCCGACTTAGAGCATCGGCGGTGACATTTGCCTTCCCTGGCTTATACTCCATGACATAATCGAACTCAGCCAAGAAATCTTGCCAATGGGCTTGCTTGGGAGTTAGTTTTTTCTGATTTTGAAAGTAGCTTGTAGCGACATTGTCAGTTTGAATTACAAACCGATTCCCGAGTAAATAGTGTCTCCATACTCGAAGGCAATGTATAATCGTTGTCATCTCCTTATCATGTATTGGATACCTTCGTTCGGTCTCGTTAAGTTTCCGACTTTCGTACACCACCGGATGACCTTGTAACAAAACACCGCCTATATCAAAGTCTGAGGCATCATTTTGTACCTGGAACGACTTCGAGTAATTGGGTAATGTTAGAATTGGTTCTTTCGTGACGACCTTCTTTAGCTCCTCAAACGTTTCTTGACACTTAGCCGTCCACTCCCATGCGACCTTCTTTTTAAGTAGATCAGTTAGTGGAGTTGACCGTGCCGAGTATTCTGATATGAATCTTCGATAATAATTGACCAGAACTAGGAACGATCGTAGTTCGAACACATTCTTAGGTGGTTCCCATTCTGAAATTGCTTTTATTTTTCTTTCATCCATGTAGATCCTCCCGTCCTTAATCTTGTGCCCAAGGAATCTTACGTCAGGTTGGGCAAAATTGCATTTCTCCATCTTCACATACAATTGGTTTTCCTTTAATGACTGAAAAACCAATTTTAGATGTTCCACGTGTTCCTCCAACGTTTCTGAGTAGACTACGATGTCGTCTAGATACACTACTACAAACTTATCCAAGAACGGGTGGAAGATTTTGTTCATGAGGGTACAAAATGTGGTCGGTGCGTTTGTGAGTCCAAAGGGCATGACCAAGAACTCAAACGATCCATACCTGGTCACACATGTTGTCTTTGGCTCGTCTCCTGCTGCTATGCGAACTTGCCAATACCCTGATCGTAGATCTAACTTTGTGAACCATCGAGCATTTGTGAGTCGATCGAAGAGATCGGCGACTAAGGGGATTGGGTACTTGTTCTTCACAGTTACCTTATTCTAGGCGTGATAGTCATTACACATTCTTAGACTACCATCTTGTTTCCTTTGGAACAATACCGGGGCACCAAATGGAGCTTTGGAAGGTCTGATGAAGCCAGCGTCTAGTAACTCCTTCAACTGTTTTCTTACCTCTTCTAATTCTGGTGGTGCCATTCGGTAAGGCCCCAACGCTGGTGGCCTTGCTCCTGGTTCTAATTCTATCTCATGATCTACCTCACTTCGTGGTGGTAGTTTCTTGGGTAATTCCGGTGGCATTACCTCTTTAAATTCCTCAAGCACTTTCTTGATTTTGTTCGGTACCTCCATTTCTGGAAAATCGACTTCTTCTTTTAATGTGGCTAGGAATGTCACCTCGCCCCTTCGAAGGCCTTTGCTAAGTTGCATGGCTGAAATGATACGGGAATTCGCCTTGATTCTTTCTAAGGGAACGATGTGAATCGAGGATCCCTTGGTGAGGCGCATGGTTTGATCTTCAAATGAAAAAGGCCGGGCTTCATCTAGGAATTCCATCCCAAGCACCATGCAGTAATCATCCATAGGGACTACCGTTAAGTCTATGATTCCTGTCCATCCTCCGATCTCGATGAGCACATTGTGGGCGACACCAAGGATGGGTTCGGATGGGGAATTTACCGCTTTCAGCCAACCTATCTCCTTGGTGTATTGAATATTCCTTTTCTTGGCTTCATTTTCAGCAAGAAAGTTATGAGACGCACCTATATCGACTAAGGCTTTAGTTGTCTCTCCATTTATTTTAGTCTTCATGAACATGAGACCTCCTCCCTTCTTTGGTTTTGTCTTTTCCTTAGCCACCGAGTTGAGGAGACGCATCGAGCTTAGTTGTTGTTCGTCCCTTTCTTCATTTTCATCTTCAAAGACCATGGCATTGAAACTTTTCTTCCTGGGAGAATCTCTTATTAGATGGGGACCATCACATAAATAACACTTCACCTCCTTACGAGTCCCTCCTTCGATCGCCTTTCCTTTGAAAGTTGAAGGTTTGACAGCGGGTCTATCGTCCCTTAGGGACGGCTTTGGCGCAACTTTATCTCCCCCACTAGTCCTTCTAATCGATGCATCTCTTCGGAAGTACTCATAGCGGGAAATGAATCCAAAAACCTACCCTACTCTCCAATAACTCTAGGGAATCCAAACACATATAATTAAGTATACTATAGGGATAATCAAAACATGACCTATTCATACGCCCTCATGCAGTCACCATGGATGATGATAAGCAAGGGGTACATTTCTATCAAGCACTAGTGGCTCAAGGAATGCTTGAGGAGGATCTCGAAGAAGAACAAGGGGGAGCCCATGACGTTGGACCCGACGAGTACACTGGTACCGGCTATGAGTTTGAGGGGTCTGAAGAAAACCCCGAAGGAGACCCTATCATGGGTCGGGAGGTGGGACTCGAAGTGGAACCGGAAGAGTATGTGGTAAATGATTACGAATATGGAGAATCTGACCAGGAGTTAGATGAAGGAAAGAACGTTGAGGAGGCACGCAATGAACCCCACCTATCGAAAGCCCCATCAGATCTACGCATGGTTCAGAAGGGTGATACAGACCATCTACGCTCTCTTGAGGAAGAAATAATCAGCCTCAGGCTTTAACTTTTTACAGCCGAAGCAAGGGCTGTACGAGCCGAGCAGAAGGTAGTGGTAATCATCCAAGACGCGAATGAACTGGCTAAACTCCTGATACGTCAGCTCGACGATTGAGTGGCATCGTCATCACTAGTGATGGGACTTGCTCTACTACTTTCTATATAGGTCTCACAGTATGTGGAACAAGTTGTTGATGGGTTTTAGGCATAAGAACAATCCTATGTGCTCATACAAACCCTAATGCTTGGATATAGGTTTCTCTATTGTACATGCTTTGAATCCAAGACTAATAAACTTAGATCTAACATATTATAAACTGAATTAGGGTTTATATAATTACCTTTGATTGTTATATAGCAATAACAATCAATTCCTTGCTTGGATTGGCTTCAAAAGCTTAGTGCCTCAAGTGCTGCACCTCTAATGGAGTCACAAACACCATATGCAACTTGGATGAAGAGGAAAAGAAGAGAGGCTGCCCAAAAACGACTAGAAACCCTAGAGAATCAGTTGTCCACGTTTTTGGGGCCTAAGGGGTCCTTTATATACTTGTGTGGGCTGCTAGGGTTTCAGTCAAAACCCTAATGGACAACTTAAACTCTAAGCAGCCCATGGAACCTTCTGGACAAGGCTATGGACGAAAATATGATGGGCTTCCATCATAATTTCGTTCACCCCTTATTCCTTTAGCATTCCTTAGCCCAATAACTCAATTATCCAATAATTGCAGTCCAGTCCCCTAAATTTAATTAATCTCTTTTAGCCACAAAATTAATACTTAATTAATTCTTGACTAATATTAATTAAACAATATGATTTCTCCTTTAATATATTATTCTCATAATATATTAATAAATCATATTTAAACCTTTCTCTCCTTAATTCATCCTACATATTGCTATGGTGAAGGCAACCCAAAAGGACCATGCTCATAATCGGGTCAAGTACATACCAAAATAGTTATGGACTTAGACACTAATCCAACAGTCTCCCACTTGGATAAGTCTAATAACTATTTTCCGTATGACTTCAGAACCTAATCAGAAATCGTAGCTTTCAAAAGCCGCTGTCAACTCTGATCTTATCAGATAGTGTGTCCTCTAGATAAGGGATTATATATTCCTCCATTCTCAAGATATCGTATAAACATAATACATGAATTCCAATCATTCTCTCTATACTGTTTCCCGACTTCCGGTTTATGATGACTGACAACAAACTACAATTGAACACATCAACTTAGTCCCGGCTTGGCCAAGCACTTAGGTGTCATCACTAAATCATCGAGAGGCCCACAAATATCGCTTTTATCCCACTTTGGGTAAAAGGAATGGATAAACTTCGACTCAAATGCTCGCTTGCATTTACTGATCGAATCACACACAACAATAAGTTTTATAACACCAAGTTACTGGTGTGTTTACTTATTATCAATGTGTAACTGACCAACAAATAACAACTCACACGTCTCGGCTTCAAGAATATACAATATTATCGTCTCACTAATCACTTGTGATAAAACCATGAAGTGATCCAAGTGAGTGTGGGTTTAATCCAATACTCTAATCTTATCAAAGCACTCATGAACTCTGCAGCAAACTTGTGCTATGTCTAAACACTTCAGACAATCTACAGACAGATTCATGACAGTCTTCCTTCATACCTACTCCCAACGTATGACCGACTGTGGATGTTTGAATAACCTAGTTATTCTGGAAGTCAAAACATGCAAACTGAAACATAATAATAGTACTTAATCCTATATGGCCCCAAACTTGTGAGAGTAAATAAAACACTTCTATTTATCCACCATATTTATTACTCATTATTATCGTTTAATGTTTCAGATAGTCAACTTATTACTTGAATTACAATAACAATTTTCCCATGCTCTAATCATGCACACTTTGTTTCCTATGGTCCATGCTTTGTGACATAGATCAATTGAAAACTTTTCCAATGATTCTCATTTCACAATTCCTTAATCCTAATTATTAGTGTAAGAACACAAGGTTCTTGCCACTACTAGAATATGCTAGATTCTAACATTTTACGCAATGATCCTTTCGTAAAGTCATAGCACAAAAGTCACCAAGACTTGGCTAATGAAATCACAAAATACTTTCTTAGAAATTGTTACAAGACAATTCGATAGACGTGAAGTCTCATATTCAAAGTACATTCCTTTGAACATCCTTCTTGCATAAAGTTTCTAATCTAGACATAGATTCCCAATATCCAACTCCCAATATGGAAACATTTCCACATTTGCCACGTGACAACTCATTCTTAATAGAATCTTATCTATTCATAATAATGTCGATATGGTCCATCTAATACCATACTCCCAACTACTCACAAGCAACCAATCCTCAGCGAACTTTGGATCGTCCTTTGATAGTTTTTTAATTATTTTAGTCAAAACCAATTCTAGTCCTTTTTCCCTCTTAATGCGTTAGACATTTGGAAATTTTTAGAATGGTAAAATACTATAGCATTTACAATCGATCCTATACCCGAAGCGTATGGGACACGATGCATAATGTCTTACATAAAGATATGATACTTTACCAATCTTTTGCCATAATATTTTATGTGTCATGTTCTCACAATTCGAACTATGAAGAGGGATGCCGTAATCATAATCGAATTTTAAGAACACACAATGTATCCTTTGACTGAAAATATTAAAATTTCTTAATCTAAGCTTTAGATTTTGAAACGGAGTATAATATTCTCTCCCTTAATTGTAGCAAAACAACTTTTCAACCCATGCAACTTTGCAAATGGAATCTTTGTTTTTCTATAATTAATATTGCTAACTTGCAATACTCGCCATAATAATCATACAAGCATAACACTTATGCTCCCACTATCATGATGATTATCATATAAGCATAACATTTATGCTCCCACTAGCTTTGACATGTATTCAGAAAACAAATGACCTTCCAGAAAACAATGCCTATTGAATTTTAAGAAATTCATATTTCTAATACCAGATGCTTCGATAAGCCTATATCTAAGCTTCTTAACCTTATACACCTTTGCCTTAGATAGCTCATATGTGTGTTTAAACAATTCATTGCTTATGTTACTAAGTTCCAAATGTTGAAACTAATTGCCAAATCTCACAATTCGAACTATGGAAAGGGATGTCGTAACCATAATTGAATTTGAGAATACAATTTTCACAATCGCTATCTTCTTAAAATCTCTCTTAGTGAAAGCATTTCCTCACAGTCATTTTCATGAAGGGGGGAATCTTATGACACTTAGATTTTATGGTGTATGAGTTCCTATCCATGTGAATTTGCCAAAACCAAGGTTCGCGACAAATCCAAACTCATATGGACTGAACTTTCTTAATCTTGATTTCTTGCCCTATGGTAACACGAGTGCCCACCATGTCTTCCAAGTAGTTTAGTAACTTATCCTTACATATCAATGTACTTTCCATTGACTAAGGCTTTAGTATGTATTCAAATGAGAACTCATAGAACTCATATACACAATTAACTCAATTGGAATGGCACAGAAACAAAATAATGTCAGCACGATAGGTTGTAAACCTCAAGTCGTGTGCTAGTGATGATCGATAAGGTTTATTCTTGATTTGTTCTTGAAACCTTTCAAGACCATTAAGACTCCCACTGACTCCTTGACATATAAGATTCTCTTGTCAAGAAACATTTCTTGACAAACCAAATATTCAAGAGTTAGTGTAGTTCTTATCAAGACAAAACACTTCACACAATTGGTCCTAGTTGGTCTTTGTCTTATCCAAGACAGCACAACTTACCAATTTCAAATGTGCAAGAATAAGAAAACTTTTCCAAATTCCACATTTGATGAGTGTTATAAACCTACTTAAGACTTTTCACTCAATGTCACAATCTTGACTCTAAGACTTGATATTGGAACGAAGTATGATTGACTTATTGATTTAACCATTTCTACAATACTTGATACCTCTTCTTAGACATGCAATTGCACTAAGACTCACTTAGAGGATCTATTGAGACACGGTTCTTAATCTTTAAGACTTATCATAAAACACAATAAAAGGTACTCTCCCTTCTTCTTAGAATAGAGAAACTTTTATCTTTCTGCCTACTTGATTCTTCTTTATTCGTTCTACTATTCATTGAAACTTTTTCAATCAACTCAGAATTATACTTAATCTTATAAGTATAATCATATTTACTAAGCTTTAGTAAATCATGACGAATATCTTTGTCACTCTTGTGGTGGACTTGATCAACACACAACCTTGTGTACTTGATCTCCTTGTCCTTCAATTGACACTTTGCCAAAGAATTAGTCTAAGTTTCCCAAATGTGAAAGGTTTTTCATTCATCATACAATACACATTGCATGATTCCAAGTTTCTGTCCAATTGAAACTTGGGCGATGAGAAACTCTATTACTTGGTAAACTCTTGACACTTCCACAAATAATACAATTAAGAATCAAATCCATTATTGCTAATAATAGAAACATTCAAACATCAATTTTTCATACATGCCATCGCAAGGATAAATAAATAAGATAAAATCAAAATTCATTTTATTGCGGAAAAAATTTGTCCTTACAATGTAATTCAATTGAAAAACTATGTTATTACATATTTCTTAACAATCTATTCTAACTCCAAGTAGTAGCTCAAGAATCCATTCTTCAAGTAATGCGATCGAAATCCATTTCTTCATGATTAGATTCAGCTCACTTCTTTTCTCAAGCTTCCTCTCTTTTCTTCGATCCTACAAAACATCAAAATGTAATCTTATCACATCATGTATTAAGAATCTAGAATAGGAACTCAAAAGAGTTAGATAATGGATTTTACCTGAAGTAGAGCCATACGTCTTGACTCTCCCATCTCTTAGATCTTTCAGGTAGTTAGGGCAGCTTCGTCTCCAATGCCCCTTCTCTTGGCAATAAAAGCAAATGGACTCCTTTGGCACAACACATCGGACAATCACAGACTTAGTTCTTTCTGGACT